GATAATCATAACAAGAAATTATTAGTAATGACGAATTCCCAACAACATATCCCCAGGCATAATACTTTATAGGTCTGCTAACGAAAAACTCGACTAGCTTTTCTAGAACAGCAAGAAACTCTTCAACTTTGATCGTGTGGTGATCCATTTATGGACCCTGCAGCTCACAAATTAGCCTCAAGATCATTATGAAAAAGAGTGACCAAGACGCCCAGATTTTTTTAATTTTGGGCAACATAACGATAAAGACAATTTTGAAATATCTATATGTGTGCAAAAGATTCATTTGACTCTATTGCAAACTGGCTTAGACGTGGCCTGTAAAAGATCTTGGATTTTTGCATGGGTCATAAAATAACAATTTAAGATAAAAAACATCAACACATATTTCAATAGGAAATTTTACGTGATTCCAGGTACTATAAATTTTGCTTTCTTTCTAAATAATGCTAAACAGGAAAAATCTATTAATAATTCAAAAACTAGGAAACTTACATTAAGGAGAGTCGTAGTGTCTTTTGTTACTGTTTTGAATGTCACAGGCGTTTTGTTGGAATCTGAGTCCTCTGCTCGATGAGATTCATCACAAGCAGGGGGTGAATAAATCTTTGGGAGGGCAGCTAACTCATCCTGTCCAAGGCAATGTAAAGAAGTTGAGATACTACGCCAGCCGAAACGGATTGTCATGTCAGTAGACATGCAAACAAATAAAGTAGCTTTCTTACAAGAATATTGCCTATTTTTTACAAGAAAAATAATAAAACCAACGCCAAAAACCAAAGACAGTCTCTAAATATTTTTACAATACGAAAGAATGGGAAAAAATTTATTTGCAAAAAATATTTGTGCGTTAGGAATATCAGAAACGTAAGTAAATATACAAATATGGCTTTGAAAAAAAGAAAAGATTTTAAAGCATGTTACTAAAGCTATTCGTCTGACACTCTTCAGAGTATAACATTCCAGAGCTCGTCTGACACTATTCAGAGTATAAAATTCCAGAGCTTGTCTGACACTATTCAGAGTATAAAACGTCAGAATATAGATTGAGAACTCTATACTATGAAAATAAATATACCCAGTTTTGGGTCGAAATAGGCTAATCAGAAATGAGACTGACGTTTTATACTCTGAAGAGTGTTGGACAAAAGCTTCAGAAACATGTTTCAAAATTTTTGCTTTTTTCAAGCCATTTTCAATTCTGTACCACGAAAAATTGCTTGCAAATATATTAATAAATGGAAAAACAGATATTCACTGGCTCGTATTTAAAGCATGTTTTGTAGCAAAATCAACGCAGTTTCTTGGCAGTATCACAAATTGAGGTTTGCATACGGAATGGATACGTCACAAGTGACGTCACATGTCAAATTTACTGCATACCTTTAGCTTCTTTGCTTTCAAACGGATGTTTTCTGCACGAACCTGGCTTAGTGCAGTCTTCAACGATTCAAGCTACGAAATAGCAAAAATAATTATAAAACCCACTGGCCAGATTCTGCCCCATATACACTCTAATAACTTTGTGAACAGACAGATAATTCTATGTACATTTAGCATGACAAATATTCAAATTTGTAAAACTGGGTGCTGGTCCTTTTTGATAGTCTTGAGCAGCACGATAGTATTACGTTTTATAGTAAAGGTAGAAAGAATAGGCGACACGTTCCATCAAATGGGAGGAGTACTTATCGTAATCTTACCTGTGCAAGAATAACCGGAGAATCTTTGATGATCACTTGAACAGAACCTTTTCCCATTCCTCCGGATTTTGTTGGCGAGCCTACAATAAAAAGTGGTCTTGGAAGGTCAGAAAATCAATCTTTGGGAGGTAAGAAAATGCCAATGGCTTTGAAGGTAAGAAAATTGTCGTTTGCACTGATGACGCCCCGTATGCCATGGTGAAATAATAGCTACCATTAAATTGCTTGTTGTTTGTTCTCAACGCGTTGCGGTGTACCTTGTTTTCCACTATTTTAGCGACTTTGGAGTCCGTCGAGAATTTTGTTACCGTGACCATTCTTTTATTTACATTACACAAGAAAATTAATATTTGTAATAAAAGTAGAACCCCTTTCGTAGAAATCTGCAGAGATCGATAACTCCGGTAAAATGGTTGTCCCAAGGTGGGAGACCAGCAGCTTTTTCAACTGTCTCCCGCATATGATATGTGGTCTCCAAAAAATAGAACTCTGGTGACAGGGGTGGACAATTCCAGTAAACATTTGGTCGCCCGGCGGTTACTCTGTGTAACGATAAGCGGTCTCCCGCAGATAAAAACCGGTCATCCCGGGTGCGTGGGAAACCGAATTGTCCTTCCCTGAATCTGACCAACGAAAATTTCTAAAAGTATTGAAGAAACCAACTGAAGATGGGTAACATTCAAAATTCAAAGCCATTATGGAAAATGTGCACCGGATAGTGGAAAAAGTAAGAGTTACTATGAAAAACAATTGGCAGTCATTTGATGGTAGGCCAAATTGATCATCTTAAGAAGTAAAACATTAGTTTTTCGTCACTCACCAACTAGACTGGCAATTCCAGAGCCACCTTGAGCCTGTCTCGCAATATCAGTTAACAAGGTTTTCTTAGAATATGCATCTAGCCTTTTCTTGAGATCTTGGTTCTCCTTTTCAAGGCTAACAATATCGGCTTGTAAACAATCTAATGTCTCTTCGTATTCTCTATAAAAAGTGAAAAGGGAATTACATTCTTTTCGCTAGAGAGATCCAAACAAAGTAACTATCGAGTTCATCTATTGAAAGAGCCCCTCTTTAAGAAATTCCCCTACAAACAAATTTTTATCATTTTCTGTAATTATTTATAGTAATTTTCTGCTTTTCATCTTTTGTTATCTTTTTATATAATCTTTGTTAATTGTTGCCTGATAAATGATTTTTGCTTGTAATGGAATTTTCAAACTAAAGTTATTGAAAAAAATTAAGGAACTGAACATGAAAGAAACGGTAACTATTTATGATACCATCTTTTTTAGCATAAAAAACTGTTATAGACTACAAAGTGGATGCAATCATCAATATGAGTCTTGGGAATCACCTTCACTTCCCCACTTTAATGTTCACATAACCGAAATTCAATAAACTTACTCGAGTGGGGAAAGGTATACAATCATATCAATACTACGTTGCGCGTGACGTTTGTCTCAAAACCAGTGTCAAGGATTTTGGGTGTTTCAAGCAATTTTTTCATTTTTGACAAGGCAGATCCCACTACTACCATGGCTGGAATTCGAGACAACGGGCAACGCCTTTACAGACCATAAAAACATACTGTTTGAATATTTTGTTTCTAGACAACAAGTATAGGAACGGAGCAAGCCTAATCCACACTCTTCACCACCATGCGCCGTGCTGTGCAATATAAAGCAATTTGAATATAAACCTCCACAACCATCCCACAACAAAAACGGATTCAAAGTTCTCTTACTTTGTTTTCTGAGCGTGTTCGTTGGAGGCATTATCATATTTCTTGTTCACAGCTTCAACCTTTGCATCCGCCTAAAAAATCGTAATTGATAATCATGTTGCTTCAATTTTTTAATCAAACAACTGAATGCCAATTGTAACTAAATGAAAAGAATCGAATACATCAAGTCGATTCAAAGTCCATTGATTGCAAGATTGAAGGAAATTCGAAATATAAACATCAAATTGACATATCATTGACATACAGTAAGTATCCGCATATAAGAAATCGCTTTTTAAACTGAGGCCTCAGAAAGTTTCTTTTTAACAGAGACTTTTCATCATCAAGGTTTAAGTTTCTTATAAATAGGTACTGTCAAGTCAAATCAAGTCACAATATAGGACAGTACCGTCCATGGATTTGTATTCAATGGTAGTAGTGTATAATACATAATCTACAGTATAATTTATCATATCAGTAGAATACACACACTACAAGAAAATATAAAACACGACTGTTTACACTCAACAAAATCTCTATTACACAACTTTGTGCAAATGCACTGTATCTTAAAAACAAAACAAAGGAGACTAACGTCGTTTGCAGCATTGTCTGCTCGCTTTTCCAGTAATCCGATGCGAATATTAGCAGCACTAAGTTCTTCTGCCTGTTGCCGATACGGAAAAAATGCAGGTAAAAAGATAAATTTACTATGTACAAGGAAGATGATATTCTTAGCGCAGTATAAATGAACTCAAAACTATAAAATACCCCAATAAATCAAAGCTGACTTTAAAAAAAGAAATTTACTTGGTCGATGAGTCAAGAAGTCATTGAATTGACAAAGTCATCAATCTCGCATTGCCTCTATCGTAACAGAAATATTTTATGTATTAACTATCCGAATGATAATTGTAATTGATTAGAATCTGTGTTAATAAAAACACTATTACTTATCTTTGTAATATATATGTTGTTAATGCTTTGTTTGTTCTATTATTAAAATGTATGTGGATGTTCGTTGATTCAGGGCCATTTCGGCCTTTATATCTTTATTGTGAATAACATAAATAAAAAAATTTAAGGGGCCGGTCCATTACCAGAATCCTTGGACAGAGTCCTAGTTAACAGGGCATAGCTGTGACAATCTTCCGAACGAGAAAAAGTATGGTGATAAATTCAGCACACAAGAAACTCGCCGAAACCTTAGATTTTTTGCATAAATCTTTTTGAAAAAGATAATTTAAAAAAAGCTAGATAACTAGCAGTGAAGAAATTGGATTTTTCCCAGAAATTCAATAATTTACAAGATTTTATGAAAACAGCTTTATATTGTAAAGATTCAGTCAATCTTGTAAAACACTTCTGCCAACGCCTAACCGACTAAAAATAATTGAAAAAGTCTAAAGCCGATCATCTTATTACATGAATATAACCACCCAGCTTTACGCCTTGTAACAAAAAAATTCAATCGCAGTTCACATACAGCCAAAATGCTATATACAATCGTATGCTACATATAAACCAGGCGAGTAAGTGGGGGGGGGGGGGGGGGGGGGG